AAATCCGTCTCCAGATCTCAGAAAGCCGGACTTCAGTTTCCCGTTGGCCGTATTGCTCGCTTCCTCAAAGCCGGAAAGTATGCCGATCGCGTCGGTGCTGGTGCTCCTGTCTACCTCTCCGCCGTCCTTGAATACCTCGCTGCCGAGGTCAGTTTCGATTTTCGCTTGATCTCAGCTTGGTCGATGATCCTTTTATGTTTGTCTTCTCTGGCCTGTTTGTTTGATGAGAAAATATAGGAATTAAGGTTTTGAGTCTCCAAGTAGAAAAACCTCTGATACAAATAGTTTTGATTCACCCTGGCCTCGATCATGAGATAGTGATAATTAATTTTCGTTTATCAATTAGTGTTTGGTGTGTATTTTACAGGTTCTTGAACTCGCCGGAAATGCTGCTAGAGACAACAAGAAGAATAGGATTGTTCCACGGCACATTCAACTGGCGGTGAGGAATGATGAGGAATTGAGCAAGCTTCTGGGGACTGTCACCATAGCCAATGGAGGTGTTTTGCCCAACATCCATCAGAATCTCCTGCCAAAGAAGATGGGCAAAGGGAAGGGCGACATTGGATCAGCTTCACAAGAATTCTAGCCCTTCTCATTATTTATTTATTCCTGTTATGTTTAGCTAAAAAAAAAAAAAAAAGAAATAAATTATTGCTGTTTTGAAACTTGGGATCTGTTGTTCTTCTTGTAAATCCACAAGTAGAGTTAATAATCTGTGAAGTGCTGTTTTTCTTGTTGAGGATTGGGTTTCTTCTTTGGACAAATTGCAGTTATGGATTGTTCGTACTTTCATGATATTAGGGTTATGTTTGGTACATATGGTGGGAGGTTTTTTTGTATTTTAAAAGATCTGATTGTATCAATCACTATAATTTATAAAATATATTATAATTTTTTATAAGTTAGTATTTTATTTATTTCATTGTAAATTTCAAAAGTATCGAATTAGTGCTTTTACAAGAATTTTTCATTTGAGTTTTAACAAAATTAACATATTATTTTTACTTTATTATTATTTTTCTTTTTTTTTTTACAAAGATAACATTTCTAGGACAGTTTTTTTATAATATAATTTTTATTAAAAGCTTCGAACACATCAAATGGCACTAGGTGTGCTTTAGCTTAAAGTGTGCTTTAGTGTAAAGTGGACATTTTCGAAGTAGAAAGTGAAACGTTAAGCTTTAATTTTAGGGAAAGTGCATTTTAGTGATTTTTTGGTCTGAAATGTTAAGATTTTATATTTATAAAATTTAAATGAAACTAAACCGATGAACGGGGATGTAGCTCAAATGGTAGAGCGCTCGCTTTGCATGCGAGAGGCACGGGGTTCGATCCCCCGCATCTCCATTACAGTGTCTTTTTTGTAACTTTGTTCAAATACTAAATATACATACCAAATGAAATTACCATTTTGCCACCATGAGTCTTGGAACTCGACAGTCGTCATCCAGCTGCTACCGGCAGCATCGAAGCAAGTCCCACAGTCGTCCTTCTATCTCGGAGAAGATAAGAAAGATTTCCCGCCATTTGAATTAGGGTTTTGAGTTTTCGGCTCGAAACCAGAACCATGGCTGTTCCTTTCTTCAACCTCGCTCCGAATTTAACAGTATCAAGGCTCTGCCTAGGTTTGTTCTCTACTCTACTTTTTCTCGGTGGCATTTGAAATTTTCCTGAAATTGGAAGCTGACAAATCTGTCTCTCTCTCAGGAACAATGACATTCGGCGAGCAGAATTCTCTTCCTCAGTCCTATCGCCTTCTCGACCAAGCTTTCGATGCCGGAATCAACTTCTTCGACTCTGCTGAAATGTACCATTTCCCCCTCCTCTCTCACCTCTCTTCCCAATTCAACTCACACAGGCATATAACTGTTGCTCCCCTTTGACTGCAATATTTTGGAATTGCAGGTATCCAGTGCCTCAGCGTGCTCAAACTCAAGGGAGGAGCGAGGAGTACCTAGGCCGGTGGATTAGAGAGAGGAAGATCTCTCGTGATCGTGTTGTTGTTGCCACAAAGGTCAGCTTTCTTTTTCCCAATCTAAGATGATTAGTTTATTGCTAATTGTTTTCTAATGTTGGGGTACAGATTGAGGTACATTTGATGGACATATTGATCTCGGTTAATCTGTGTTTAACTGGAATGAGGTCTCAGTGCCTGTACGTTACCAAAATTGTCAAGAGTTTAGTCTTACAGCCAGAAAGAGAAAAAGAAATTAAGCTTCATGTCTTTTGTTCTTGGGTTAAAGGTGCAGTTTGATCTTTTTGGCACAGCATGATGTTAATATGGTGCTGCCATAATGCCATTTCAGTCAAAAGTTTTGCATATGGCACTGCATCTTAACATTTGCTGGTTGCATACTGGCATTATTGGATGAGATGAAACATTCTATGTTTACAGGAAATGTGATTTTACTACCTAGTTTTCCTTGCATGGGGCAGGTTTTTTTATCAGTCCTTACAACACCTTTAGAATTTGTGCTTCATCTGTAATAAGTGGTTTTGAGATAGGTTTCTGGGCCATCTGGGCAAATGACTTGGATTCGAGGTGGACCAAATTGTTTAGATGCCAGGAATATCAGTGAGGCCATAGACAACAGGTTGGTTCCTTGCTATATGCTTTGCTCCTTGTTTTCTTGTAGGCTAAGTCTAATCCAACATTCTACATTTTAATGATCTCATTTATCAGGATTATATTCACTTGCTAATCTGGATTATTCTTGCATGTTCTATCTCACATTTTTAGGCTTGGTTTTCAGATTAAATGTAACTTGTTGGTGTTTTCAAAATTTTTTGAAAAGATTCTGTAGAAAGTGTCTTTACCCTTTACTGAGTGAACTGGTAGTGGTAGCTAATGAACAAGTTTATGATACCATTTAAGTTACATCGCTTTATTTGGTTCTACCATCATACCCACAAACCATAAGACGTGATTATGTATGGAATGATGTAGATATTCATTTTTGTTCTTTTCATTCTTTATTGGCTTATGGTTTGATTATTGCAGTTTACAGCGACTGGGGATGGATTATATTGATCTCTATCAAATTCATTGGCCTGATCGGTTTGTATGTAAAATTCAGCCTTTTATTTGTTTTTTTTTTTCTTTTGTCCAATGGGAGGAGTGGGTTGATGAAGGGGAATGATTTGACATAACATTCACAAACCAACAATACTAGCTTTCTTGGATTATGTTTACAAGTCTCATATGACTTCTTTTTTTTTTTTACATTCCCATAACACGTAATGCTAAGCTTTGACTTAAAAGTAAATCATGGTTGTTTTCTGCAGTTTTGTTCCCATGTTTGGAGAAACTGAGTATGATCCAGTTCGACAGTTCTCCTCTGTTTCTATAGAGGAACAGCTTGATGCTCTTGGAAGAGCTGTTGATGCTGGTAAGGTAAGTGAATGATGTGTTTCCACTATAGTCAATCTCTCAGAAAAATGATTCCCAGTAACCCTTTATTTTCGTTTATAGATCAGATACATCGGACTCAGTAATGAAACACCATATGGTGTCATGAAGTTCCTTCATGTTGCAGAGAAGGATGATCGGTACCCTAAGATAGTATCTCTACAGGTAGTGTGCATGCATGTATCCATTCCCTGTTTGTTAGCAATATCTTCTTACTGTTCCCTCATTGCCTTATCCATATTCTGGCTGATAAACAGCTTATTATCTTTTTTACAGAATTCATACAGCTTGCTCTGCCGAACTTTTGATTCTGGAATGGCTGAGTGCTGTCATCATGAGAGGTAATTATGTTTAATAGGTTAATAAAGCTGAAAGATTTCATCATCATGTGACTGCCAGTCTTCTGAGAGTTATAATAACAAATTATTGCATTTTTTTTGTTGCAATATATTCTTTTTTAAATTAAATTTATCATTCTGAATTAGGTGTATTATCACAGAAATCAAATTGTTTCTTGGATAATTTCATTTCGTCTTGGGGGGATTGCTGACCTTGACGTAATAGTCTAATTATGGTAAAAAATCTTAACACTTGGGTTCTGAAAAGAGTCAGTCACAAGTTAAATGGGTTATGATGAATGATGTTGTGAGCAAGGAAAAAGTAGGAAGCAAAAGTATGACACCTGCTTATGGGTAGAGACTCTTAGGGAAATACTTCTGTCAATGAAAGCCTTCTGGGTTTATGAAGCTTACAAGGTGTGGTTGCCCCTCAATGGAGATTTTTTTCTTAATTCTTTTTAGTTTATCAATATGAGGTCCTTATGCAAATATTTGTCAATAATCAGTTCCGTTTTTTATTATTCTTTCCTTGATACCCCATTAAACATTTTCTAGGATAAGTTTGCTGGCTTATAGCCCCCTGGCAATGGGCATACTGTCTGGGAAGTATTTCTCTTCTGATGGTGGCCCATCCGATGCTCGGTTAAATCTTTTCAGAGGTTAATTACCAACTCTTATTTAGTTATTTTGCTTCCATTTTTTTGGACTTCTAATTACCCCTTTATTGCCACTATAATTTTCTCCTATTCAGTTCCATATTCACTGCTTTATGCAGGGAGGTATTCAGAAGGTGAATTTCGATATAACCTATCCAGGAAACAATTAAAATCAGCCACTATGGTAAGCAGATTATTCCCAGTTATGAACCTCAACTTCGTTCCATGTCAAGCTTATTATTGATCACCAGAAAGATAAAACTAAGTTCTAACCTTTTAATTGTTTCTCTTTGTCTTTACAGGAATACCTCAGTATTGCTGAAGAATATGGTCTTCATCCTGTATCTCTTGCAATTTGTATGTATCTTTATGCATGCGTGTGGTGCTGCACTGCTCCTCTTTATTTTTACTCCTGCTTTGTTATTATATTCTTTGTAACCTCTTTTAATTTTGAAATTCTTCCCTTTGGGCAGCTTTTGTTTTGAGACACCCTCTTATTGCAAGTGCCGTATTTGGAGTTACCAAATCATGGCAGCTTCAAGAGGTTCTTGACGCGTGCAATGTTGAACTCACAGCTCAAATTATTGCAGACATCAACAGAGTCCATGCTAAGTTTCCCAATCCATGCCCTTGATTAATGTGAAAGATTTCTACATTCCTTTTCCATTTGAAAAGTTTTAAAATTAGCCAGCACAATCCACTTGTCATGTTATCTCTTATGCTCTAATATGTTGGGGAAAATTTTGGGAGGAAAGCTCAGACTTCAAGTAATCAAAGATTAACCTGGCAGCATACGGATGTCCTAAAATTTTTGGCCGGTTAGGAATCATCAAATTTTAGGTGAAAACATGTGCTGATGTTTAGATTTTGCCATATCGATATGAACTTCAGCTATTGAAGCATGTATTTCTGTCTGCCCCCTCTCAAAAAAATTGCTTGTGATTTCGCAATTTACCTTTTAACCATATGGTGTTATGCGTTTTTTTGTGCACTTAGAACTTTGAAAACAGGGAAAAGCCTTGGAAACCAAAATAAAAAAGGAAAAAAAAAAAAATCCTTAGAACTTTATTATCTATGTATCTTTGCCGGTTGCATTCACAACAACCGTAAGTTAGGTAGATGTTGGCTTGGATCTAGTAGGATGTTATCATGATTGTTGACCATCATGAGTGGACTCAAATGGTTAGCTTAGCATTAGTGGGAATGTTAATCTAGTTGGTGTTGATCTTTTCTTCCCTCCAGTTGGATGTTGACCATGTGGAATCAATGAGTTTTCCAAGAAAGAGATCCCTGCAGAAGATGCGAAGATAGCTAAAACCTGATTTCAAGAGTCAAGACCTGGCGGCTGCTGGCTGCATTGTCAACCTTGCAACTCATGGGTTTGAAAGGAAAAATATGTAATAAGAATATCAAAATTGACTTGATTTTAATCCGTTCTAGAACTCACTTAGCTGAAAATTAAAGACTAGAGAAGACCTGGATACAAGGAATGGATCAATTCTTCTTCTTCCATTTTTTATTTTTTTAAATAAGGAATAGACCATTGCAGGCACCAACAAAAAGAATAGACCAATTCTAGCATACAGAGCATCGTAATTAACATTCATTTTTTAAATGCATCTGATTAGCAGGTAATTTTCTTTTTTTAAACAAGAGGAATTAGTTGCTTGGTATTATATTATTATGAGTTTGAACACTTTAATACTAAATTAAAGGTTTTTAAGTTAATAAATATTTTGTTGGCAAAATAAAAGTTACTGTAACAGAATTTTTTTATAAGTAAATTACTTAACTGAAAATTGTTTTACATGATAGACTGTATGCAATTCGTTTTGTAAAATTATTTAAATGTTTTTTAAAAAATAATATAAAAATAAATATAAAAATATTTAAATAATTTATAAAGTAGATTACAGGCAGTTTGTTTTGTAAAACAATTTTTTCATTGCTTAATAAGTAAAAAATAACACTCTTTTATCTCTTAAATTATTTTGATGGATTAATCCATGTAAGAAGAGGAATTAAGTTTTTTTTTTTTTGGAAAAAAATGAGAAGATTTTTTTTTTTTTGTGAATAAAAGGAATTCAACTTAAAATTTCTAAAATATCCTCTAATTATTACAAAAGGCAGCAGGTTGCGCTGGAAAAAAGTCAGCCTCTAAGTTTGGATTTGGTGGTTTGACATTTTATCATTGTTTAGACTTCCTTCCTCCTTTTCTCCTCTCCAATCTCACTCTCCTCCAGTCCTGCTATTCAACAATATATATATATATATATTTTTTTCTTTCTTTCACTAATATTATTTTTGAAAAGTAATTATCAAGAATAATCCGTTTTGACATAATGGCATAAAGTATGAGTTAGATCGTTCACTTCTTGTGGATTCAATTTTTTCTTCTTTCACTTAACTAATATATGTAATTAATTTTATTTTTATCATAAAAAAAAAAGTAATTATCAAGATGATAGTAGAAAAAGTGTAAATATATTTGAAAAGTTATTTAAATATTTTAAATAAATTATTTAGACAATAATTTATTAATAATATTTAAATTTTGTCACAGGGCGGACTTGCAAATCCATACTCCCATATTATCTTTCTAACAAAAAATATTTTTTTCAGTTAATAGTTATAAAAGTATTTAAACACCTACTAAATAAGATTTATTAAAAGCATTTTAATATTTTAATTATATTTGTTTGGGCAAAAAAAACATTAGTACTGTCATTTTCCAAAATTACTATTAAAAATAGAAATTAGTTAGCACCTTTCTTTTCTTTTTTCTTTTCTTTTTTCTTTTCTTTTTGGTAGAAAGTACTTTTCTAGTTTATTTCACCTAAAAAGGCAAAAAATATATTATAAGGGAGGATAAATTGTTGGAAAAAAAAAGGGTCTGGAGCTGCAGCTCGGGTCAGCCACGACGGAGCTCCGATCTTGGTTTAGTGGGGTTGTGTTGTGTGTATCGTCTTTTTCAGGATTTATTGTTGAGTTGGGTTACTGTTGTTTCGATTCAAAGGTGTGATCTTTAAGGGTGGGGTTGGTCGGGGATGGCTTCCAACACTTGGTCGTACCCGGCTCCCACGTACCGGACGTTGGACACTCATTGGGACACCGACGAAGATGTTCCTGGTCCACGATGCGCCCACACCCTCACCGCCGTTGCTCCCACCAAAACTCATGGCCCCCGCCTCATCCTCTTTGGGGGCGCCACCGCCATAGAGGGCGGTTCATCCTCTGCTCCCGGAATCAGTTAACTCTTCACACTTAATCTCTCTCTGTTTAGATGAGTTGGGGGATTGGTTTCGTGAATTAATCGGTTTGTTTGATTTTTTGTAATGTAGGGTTGGCGGGTGTTACCAATTCAGTTCATTCCTATGATGTTCACACTAGAAAGTGGACCAGGTTACATCTGTTATCACCTTGCTGTTTTCCAATCAGAATTGCATTCTATCGAGATTTTAGCTTACTTTTATTTTATTGTTTTGGTTGGGGATCAATGGGATTATGCAGAATCAGACCAGCTGGTGAGCCACCATCCCCCAGGGCTGCCCATGCGGCAGCTGCAGTTGGCACCATGGTTGTCTTTCAGGTGAGTGAACTGAAAAATTCGAGCTAAAGGTTTAGAATTTTGTAGGGTTTTGTTGGTTTCCGGTTTTGAGGGTGATCATTGTTATGGTATTGAGCAGGGTGGCATAGGTCCAGCCGGGCATTCTACTGATGATCTTTACGTGCTTGATATGGCCAATGATAGGTTCAAGTGGCACAGGTGAGCTTCAGTTCTGCAAATTTTATCTACTCCTCACTACTCATTTTTCTTGTCTAATAGTAATCTTATTATTTTGTTTTTTGGATTTTGAAATGGGTAGGGTTGTTGTACAAGGACAGGGTCTTGGGCCTCGCTATGGCCATGTTATGGATTTGGTGGCACAGAGATATCTTGTTACTGTTAGTGGCTATGATGGTATGGACATTCCATTTCTCAGCTTTATATCTGGGTAATTTTCTAAGAAGGTCTATGATTCTCAGTGCTAGGAAAAATTTGTTCTCATCGCCAGAAGCTAAGATTATGAATTTATGATCTTATCAGTTCCTTAATTAGGACAAGTGTTGTAAAAGCATGCCTAGGCGATAGGTGGCAGGCAACTGCCTCCCTTAGCCATTAGGTGTGCCTAGTCCCCCCCCCCCCCTTTTTTTTTTTGCCAAAAATTGATAAAATGCCCAGGTGCTAGGTGGTGGTAGGGTAGCGCCTCACCACCACATGGCGCTCCGTGCAACACTGATTATGACTTTAATGATCTTTCTGAAATCTTAATTGTAATTACACATATGGTATGTTCTATAAGAAAACATGGTAAAAATGCCCTGCTGGACTTTTGCAAAATCTGCACTCTTAGATGTTTTCAGTAACTAGTTAATAAGATTTGGAATGTGGTTTCTCTGATAAATCAACCAACTTGAGAATATGGTTTCTCTGTCTTCTAGTCCATTTATGTTAGATTGTCGGTAAAAGTTACAATTTAATGTGATGGGACAAAGACTAATGTTTGTGTATTTTGGCAACTGAGTTTTAAAACATTTCATTTTTCTGTTTCTGTTTTTGGGATAGCGTCCATAGATTTTTTTTTCCTTAATATATTTGTCTATTTTATTTTGATTAGGAAAAAGAGTTCTCTCGGATGCTTGGGTTTTGGATACTGCCCAGAAGCCATA